TTTTATTTAATTTAAAGATTCTGATTATACTGTCATATCCAATGTTCAAGGGGTATCAATATTAAAAACTTTTCCTGAAGAGTATTTGCAGACGCCTTCAACATATTAGTGTTTTGTCATCAGGAGTAGACTCCAATTTTTCCAAAGAAAATAGTTACACAGATTTGCATCCCTTAACATAATTTGATTCAGATCCCAATTCAAATAATATAATATCTATGATGCAAAATTCAGATGACATAAATTCATTATTAYCAACGACAAGTCAATCTTCAAATTCAGTATCACAGGTAAATATTGATGGGTTTTTATGTTCTTTTCATAAAATGCACTTAACAAATTTAGAATTTATAATGTCTTACAGAATTTTGAATCCATAGCGTCTGAAAATCGACCTTTTCCAAGGTCGTATCCGACAATACAAAATTCATCTGAAGGTAATACTAATATAAATATGCCTTAAAAAAGTGACCAAACTTGGTGTATTTAAAGTCAAATCACAATTTTATCATAATTAAAATTAATTATTTTTAAATAATTTAACTAAAAAATAGTAAATATAACAAATTATATTTCATATACCTATAAACCTATCTGTTCTAAACTTTTCAAACATTATTACTTGCTCTTTAATAAATTTAATATTATAAATTATAATTTGTAAGTACCTACATCATTTTTTTTTTATATCTAGGTACATCATGACTAATTATTCACAACAATTATTACCTACATTTTAAAATTGTTGATAAATATTAGTCCTATACATGATGTATTCATAAAACTCTTAAAGTGATTAAGATTGAAAAATATACTTAATAATTTACATATTTTTGTGTTTGAAGGAATTCACATATTGTTCAAACAAATTCATGATGAATTGATAGCTAATCGAATGATGAATGATAGACTCTGTAGTAAAATTGATTCTTTAAAAGATATATTATCATATAATAATACATTTTATGTGTTATGAGTTTATGAGATTCTTATAAATATAATTAAATTTTTTTTTTTTATTAGTTATAATTAAAAATAAATATCAACATYCTGATTCTACATTTGAAGTAGAAGTACAGAGTTGGTTTAGAACAGCTAAAACTCGATATGACAGGACCAAGTAAATTTGATAGCATTCTTACTTTAAAAAATTAGATTAATACAAACCAAATACATATAAGTATAATAAATTTATAATGTGTCTATAAATATATAATATATATTTAATAAAATAAAAAAGATTTGGTATTAAAAAAAAAAAATTATTGTATATACTTGTTTTAGTGTTAACAGTTCATAAGCGCATTAAAGATATTGGAAGTATATCGAAATGTCAATTTCAGAGGCGTATTAAAAATAAATTACAATCACTACATAATAGTAATCCACCAATATCCATTAACTCTGATATTCAATGTTCATCACAAGTGTGTTTTAAAATATTAGTTTGTTTTATATTTAATTTACATATAATTAAATGTTTCTAGGTAATAAATTCTATCACACTTTCAAAAGTTTCTTCCAAAGAAATATTTATTCAATTAATTGTATTCAATCGTGTACTTCTATGAACATTAATTTAACTAATAATGTGCAGACTAATCAATTTTGTAATTTCACTGTAAGCATTAGACACATTTATGTATTTTTACATATGTACCTGATAATTTTTTTTTAAATTATAAAATGTATTAATTTTATTTTTTTAGGATTTTTCTGAAGATGTTCAGYACGTTGAAGAAGTGTTGTGTACAAATATTTTGATTAATGACAAAAACAAAGATCTTGTGCAACATCTTCGAAAATGGACTGTGCAGTTCAACRTATCTCACTCGTGTGCTAATGAAATGTTAAAAATTCTGAGAAGTACAAGCCTACAAGTTCCTAAAGATATTAGAACAATTCTACAAGAATATAAGGTTATTAGACCTATTTTTAAAATAGAAAATGGATCATATCACTTAGGTATTTACAATATTATAAAACCTCATTTGGTTAAAGAAATAGATAGCATTCCTAATAATATTACAATAAAATTGAGTTTTAGTATTGATGGTCTAAAGCTGGTAAAAGCTCTAAGACTAAGTTTTGGCCTATTCTTCTATCATTTATTAATTACCAAATTTTTCAAATAAAATATTTCCAATTGCTATTTATCACAGCTTTAAAGGTAAACCAGGTGATGTGAACGAGTATTTACGCCCATTTATTAATGAGTTGAATAGTCTTTTAACTTCGGGTATTAAAATTAATGATAAGCAAATACATTTTGAAGTAGCTCATATTGTAGCTGACGCTCTAACTAAGGCTTATTTATTAAATGTTAAAAACCACAATGGCTATTTTGCTTGCACTTCTTGTGAAGTTGAAGGTGATTATATCGAAAATAAAGTTTGCTTCTTAGATTTTTCTGCGCCATTAAGAACAAATAATTCATTTAGATTAAAATTGAACTCTGAGTACCATAAATATGGATTTAGTCCTTTAGTATATCTTCCAATCGATATAATAAATTGTGTGGTCTTGGGTTACATGTATTATGTATAGTAATCTATTGTTAAATTATTAAATATAAGTGATTTGTTTAAATAACCAGTGCCAAGTTAGCTTGTATATAAGTATTTATTTTTTTTTGTTATTGTAATGAACCTAAGCATTATTAAATTATTATAAGTTATATTAAATTTGTTTATTTATTCCATTTGTTAATAAAGAAGGATGGGTAATTATTTTATTACACCTAACCTAATATTATCTCTTGTATCAATTAATAAATACATCTAGAACCTATGTATCTATGTTTGTTTTATTGTTTTTTATTATAATACTTTTTGATATATTACATTTTTTTTTAATTCTATCTGATGATAAGTATAAAAAAATAATGATGGTATATAAATATTGTTACATAATTTGTGTTGATTAATAAATATATACTTTTAGAAATCTTATAATATGTATTTTTATTTATTAATATATTTTTTTTACTTAATCCTTAGTAAATTCCACTCAGTTTTATAGATGTATCTATGAAACTTTAAAAAAACATAATGGGAATATAATATTTTATCTATTTACTAAAACCAAAAAAAATATATAACTGGAACTATTTGTTGTAATATTAATATTATGTTCCAAAAAACCATAAATGAAATATAAACGTAATACGAGTATATAGTACGGTTATGTTTCATTCATTGTTTCAAACAACACGGCATATTGCGTTATTGGAATGGTTTTGGAACTCTAATGGAAGTTCCGTAGAAACGTTTCAAAGTTCCCTAGGAATATTCATTTTATATTATCGTAACGGTTTTTTGTACAGATAATATAAAGATAAAATATTTTAGAGTAGAAAAACTTCTTTCACAGGTTACTTGTGAAGAAGATAAACTTAAAATAAACTTATAAGCTAAGTACAACTTATCATATGCTTTTGAATAAAGGTTATAAGTATGTAAAATATTATTTCGAACATCGTACAGTTCTTACAGCTGCAAATACTTTTTAAAGAACCTTGTTCTTCTTTTGAATCGTCTTCTTCATCGAATTTTTTACACTATTAAAACTTAACCAATTTCTTAAAATATCATCTTTTCGTTTATATAATATCGTACAATTTAAGTCGTCAAATTTTGGTTGAATCGGAAAAGTTCATTTTGATTTGGTTTCTTAAACCAATAATTATACTCACAGTGGCCGTCTTGAATTTCGGATTGTAAATTATTTTTGGTACTTTTATTGAAAGTTGATGACATGGATTTATTTTCAAATTTTTCGGGAGAACGATTTGAATTTCAGAATAATTAGATGTGGTAATAGATGCATCAGATTTTAGAGTACTCTCGGTTACGTTAATATTAAACTTGATTCAACACTTTTGTCAATAGGTATCCTTATTTTTAGATTGAATTTAAAACCTAATATCTAAAGACTTACATTTAGGTGCATCAATGTTGATCAATTTCTTTTTTCTCTCTCTTAATTTCTCAGCATTTCCTTTATGTTTTCTTTTTATATTTTCCATTATATATTAGACACTTAGAAAAAACAGCGGGACTTTTAAAGCTAAAAAAAAATAAATACCAATTAAGTTTAGAAAATGGTGATAAGACAAAACCAAAGGATAAAATTAAATCTGGAGAAGTTTTGGAAATTTGGTAAATATATTTCAAATTAGAAGCCAATTAAAGGGGTAATCATTAATGGATGATCAACAACACTAACAAATATATTGATATTATGTATTATTTGTTATTTATAAACAAAACCATATTATAATATTTCATTGTAGATAATTCTTAAATTTAATTGAGGTTCAATATTTTGACAAAAATTAAGAATAAATAATTTAATAATACATTTAAATTATTAATTTTTCAACTACAATAATACTAGTGGAAGCTTAATAACGAATTAAATTATATATATATATATATATATGAATAATAACTAATTAAAATAAATATAAATACATTTGTTTTTATAACTTATGTTTTATGTGCCTCAAATAACTTAGGAAATAGACATTTACTACATCAGTATATTATGATAGTATAATGAATCCATATTGCAGCTATTATTTTTGGAACCAGAATATTAAAAAACAATTACATTTTTAAATATTTTTGATTTAACATAAAATCTAGTTGTTACAAGATACATTTTACTTTTATATGTACTTATTTACTATATATTAATGATCGGCAACTAGCAGCCTGTGTGACAATTCAATACTGCCATTTTTTTTTTTTAAAGAACTCATAGATTAAAATTTTTTCTGATATGGTCACAAAACTTTTTTAATTTTTAATACAGCTCCAAAGTCAAAAAAGATTGCCGACCACTGCTATGTATAATTATATATTAGTAAAAACAGTAATTATAATAATAATTTGTAAAAATAATTAAATATTTATCATACTATGTTAACAATAAAATAATTCACTTATAATATAATTAATATAATATAATTCAGTTATACTTGATTCCATCTACAAAAATTTTTTCAACTGAAAAAAAATAAATTAAACTTTATTAGAAWATGAGTTAGAATAACTTGTTATGACTCTAAATGTATATTTGTAGGTACCACACATTTGCTAATCATGGGCCGGGAATATATATTTTCCTCATTCATAGTTTTACGACAATAGGAATTGAGACTCTATTGTGTTCAAGACTTAGGATATGTTAACAACATTTGTATTATACATCTTAGTATGATCAAAAATGTGTTTAATACCTACCCATTTATATTTGATGTTTCGAAAATAACATACCTATGCAAAAATAGGCGTTCAAAATGTAATTATTCAAATAAAAATGTATAGAATATTGTATTTAATTTATTGTTTTTTCAATATGGATACAGAAATTAATACAATATTTGATTTGCTCAAATTATTTCAAGATACTAGTTTATTAAATTTTTGTGTTATATAGTTTCTAATTTCTTTGAATAAAAATGTATTTACAATATTTTTTTATGGTATTACATAAAATAGGGTGACCACAGGGCGTCATTTCGGGTTATTTTCGGGTGTGCGAAGTTTCAAGCAGGCCATTTTGAAATTTCATCAGGCCATATAAAAATAGATATACATACGTATATTATTTCCATACATTATAGACCAGTTATTATAATTTGATTTTAATCACATAAATAATTGTGCATTCGTGGCTCGTGCATTTTTTTAGGCTTTCAGCAAGGCGCAGGCCAATTGTAACATGCTAAAAGTAAGGGGTGCAACCGCACACCCTGCCACCTCCCAAATGACGCCCCTGAGGGTACCTACTCTCTATTTATCTAAATTGAGTATGTCATAATATAGTATTGGAGGATGCTACATGGAGACAACAAATGCATACATAGAGTCCTTTTAATAATCATAAGCAATTTTATCATTTAAATTTATTTTATATTTTGCAATATTAATTAACTAATACTGAATTATGTGAAATACAAACATTTTTTTTTAAAATTAAAATGAAAAGGCAATATAATACTTAATATCATTAAATCATATTATGATAAAATAATTATTCATATTTGTTATAAAATAATAAGAGTTACAAAAAAATATAATTATATCCATGGTTAGATTTATGTCCTACAATACTAGTTATAGCCTAAACTACTTGACATCTTTATTATATCTAGAGCCGTAGAGATATAAAATAAAATATAACGTAAGTATTTTTAATTTGTCTAATTTACGGCTAAAGATATTTTCATGTTTTTTTTTTTTATTCATCTAACTATGATATAATTAAAATTATGAATGTTATGTTCATCAAAAATAATTTGTGATCTAACTTTTAGTTGTGATCCATAAACTAAATCCACTATAGGGACTATGGGTTAGCCAAACCATATCTTAATGATTTTAAATTAATAATATARCTTTGAAGTAAGTACTATATACTACGCAACTAAAAAAAATCAAATCTTTAAGGCATTGCACAACTACTAATTATCATTACCATGAGAGATAATGGTGATACTTAATTATTTACTCTTGCATATGCATGGTTCAATTTTAATTTGAAATGTATTAATCATAATAGAAAGGTTTTGATTAAAATAAGAAAACATTTAAAATGCCATTTGTAACTAGGTATAATAATAAATGATAAGCTCGTACAACAATATAATATTATTAGTATTAACACTCATAACAGAATATATTATTTTCTAGATTTGAGCAAATGCATGGAATATCATAATAATTTGTATTTTGCTGCATCTGAGCAACACACTGTATGCGGAACAGCATGTTCAGAATAAAAATTACATGCATTATCTAGGACATAACCCTGTTTTTTCAACTTTTATATTTACATTTTTGGCATCAGACCAAAACTGTTTATTGTTTTTATGAATCATTRTACTTTTTTGTGAAACATATTCATATTAATTTAATAATAAATAACTTACTGGATTATCRTCATCAATAATAAAGTCATTATCAAGGTCTTCTGGCAGTTGTAAAAACTCTTCAGATGACTCTTGTGAAATATCACTTGCTTCTATTTCTTGGTTTGTAATAAGTCCTATTCCACCTTTAATACATTTTCATATTTTATTACACGTGTACATTTAAAAATTAATATTAAATAACTTCAGAGATTTTTTAATTATGCATATATGTATATTTACATATATTGAATATGAGTAATATAGATTATAATAGATACATGCTAATTTTCATTCCTAAAAACATTTTTTTCAACATCAATGATATGTCCAAAATATATATAGCTTCAAGTTAAGAAATTACAGTGACGGCAGAAGACAATATGGCAGAGACTGCAATACTGCCAATATCACAATCATATAATACCAACAATACTGAGAAGAGGCTTTAATTGAAAATGATTAACACTTAAAGTTATTTATGAATATAAATAATCAAGTAAAAATAGTAAGGTTTTGGGGGCCTATATGTATTAAATAAATTATAGAATACAATCTATTTATAAAAATGCATTGATTAGGAAGTATAATTAATAATCATTGACATAAACAACAACTACATTGACGGTGGTCTGAGGTTTATATTTACTGTATTAAATTATAAACATTTCATTATGGGATTGATTGCTTTTTAATTTGTCATCAATCGGTCRACGCCACAATAAATGTACAGTGGCTCCATGACACAGACACCAAATAAATGATTATTAAATTGTGAGGCAAGTTAAGACTTTACTCTACATTACTTTAAAAGATATGAATACCTAATACATATGGAATTACTGCAAGATAAAATATAATAATAGTTACAATTTATTAAGTAGGTACCAAGACATTACTTATAATTAGGGCAGATAACTTCTATTCATTTTTATACTTGTCCAGAAATAGGTCATAAATCAATGTGAGTGATGTATAAATATGTTTTAAAACCTAGGAAACTATTTTTAAATTTTAAATATTTTATCATTACTGCATATAATATATTTGAGTATATTGAAAAATTAAGAACATATTTTGAAATTACTCTAAATAGAAAAATTAGTATCAAATAAGAATTTAAAATAAAAAAGGGTAGTTTAAACAAATAAAATTATATTCAAATATTTTTTGTATGGTTATACTAAATAATCATTTCACAATAATTACAAGATAATTTCCAGGCTAATAATAGCATAACACTTTGTATGCATACTTTAGATGTTCATCATAATTAATCAAGAACCAAGATGCCATGTGCAGTGGCCATCAGTTAAATATTAAATATTTTTGTTAGCCCTTCTGTCTATCACACAATATAGATTAAGATGACAATAATTAATATGTGTACCAAAAACTAGTTAAAATTATTTGCCATTGCTTGAAATTTTAAATATATATTTAAGTGAAGGAAAAATGTTACCAGAATCCACAAATAATATTAGCTGCAGTAGAATATTCAAACACAATAATCATGATAAGTATTTAAGTTATTAATTTAGTTAATGATTAAGTTAAAACAGACATTATTAAAAACATTTCCCTATTTTTTATTTTTTTTTTTTTAGACATATGTAACACTAAAAGAAAAACATAATAACATTCCAAAGAAAAAATAAGAAAATATAATTTTCAAAATTAATAAATTATTATGACCTACTTAGTTTAATTTTATTTAATTTACTTATTTTGATTAACAAATGTATTAATATTTAAGAAACACTTACTAACAATGAATTTTGACCACATATCTTCTTTASCAGCTATAATAACTGCATCTTTTACAAGATACATAAAATTATTATAAGACTTCACATCATTATTTACAATATAATATTCTCTTAAAACCTTCAAAGTTAATGTTGGTTTCATTAAATCTTCTAGATTTGTACTTTTCTCTATTAAGTTTAGAGTTACGTATTGCATCTTCTTACAAACTGCAATAATAGTTAATATACATTTATTTAATTTATTATTTTAAAATAACACCTGAAAGGCAAACAATAAAAGAAAGAAAAAAAGAAAATGTATTTTAAATAATTAATTTGGTCTTAATATCCAAGCATATAGCCAAGATAATGCAGATGATGCTGATTAGATCACACTTTTATATTCAATTATTTGTTAGTTGTTAAATTCCTTACGATTGATAGATAGTACACCTAGTGAACATAGTGAGTTATCAAGTAGAATAAAGAGAATTTAATGGTTTATTATTATACTTGTAGTTTATTTTCGATTATTTTTAGCATCGCAGCAATATATTATTTATAAAAAGTTATTTTATAAAACATCACACCATTTTAATGTTTAAATTATGCATGCATCCAATTTCTGATTTTTGAATTTTTAAATATAGTAGACCATGTTTTGAATACTTAAATATTTTTCACAACATTTAAATTTTAAGGAGTATTGTGTGGTAATATTATTATTGGTTTTTCAAATAAGAACCTACATACCTTCAGTTTCTGAAAATTTTACATTTAACAACTCAGTTTGCATTTGTATTTGAATATTATTTGTATATAAAATTAGGCATTGATCCTTTAATTTACAATTAAACAAAAATTTGATATTTGCTTTATTAAATAATAAAACAGATTTTTAGGAGGTTTATCTTAAAATTCTATACTCAGCCTCTAAAGAAAACAATTAGTTTTAACCCATCGAGAATAATAGGATTGACGAATTGAGAATCACATCATCACACAATCACTGTGTAGTTAGTGGGAGATAAATTACTGATGAAAATTGCAATTTTTCAAGAGAAAACATGCCGTTTTTACATATCTCTGTGCATCACCCTACCATTAAAACCGGTTCATCTATGACGGGTGTCATGTTGAAATACTCAAAAAAATCTGGTTTAGGTCAGACAGTGGAATATTCATTAGTGGAACAGGGTATATTTTTGTTTTCATTAATTTAAGATATTGTTTTCTGCTTATAGTTACATTAGAAAATGTGTTAGGTTTATTGTAATATTCTTTATTTACTAATTTTATTGTATTATTTACTTTTTGAAGCGTAAAATAAAACAAAAATTATAATTAACATTATTAAGTAATGAATTTTAAAATTTTTGACCATAGAATTTCATTTAACAGTTAATTGAAACAGTATTTTTAATATTAAGTTGCACTCTACCCTTCAATAAAAATCCTAGCTACAGCCTTGTCTATACTTACAACCGTACAATATAAAAAATAAAAAATACTTCTAACTAAAAACAAATTTTAAAATACCAATTGCAGAGTCTAATCCATTTTCTAACAGTTTATAAAAATCTTCTATCGGGTTCATTTCTGTAATCACACATTCTTTTGAAACGTTCAAACCTCCATCATGAATGAATTCTGTAGGATTATTATCTTCAATCAGTATCGTTTCCTCTTGCAACTCAACAATATTATCTTCAATCAATATTGTTTCGTCTATCATCTCTACAATATTATCTTCAATTGGACAACTATTAAACAAACATAATTAAAAATTATTTTCGTTATTTATTATTTTATTTCTTAAAAATAATATTAAACACATACTCTTCAGAAACTTCTTGTGGAAGTGAGGATGTATTTATAAATTCTTTTAAAGGCGGTACAGTAATTTCCATTATGCTTTTAGAAATTGGCTCTGGAATTATTGCTGTTGACGAGATTTCATCTGGAATTAAGTTTTGAACAATACAATCATACAAAGATTGTAATTGAGGGTCGTATTTAATTTCCGGCATGACAAATCCATTCCTTAAATAATATCAATAAGTAAAATAAATAAATAAATAAATTATAACAAATAATATTTCAATTTACTTATCGTTATGCTTAGGAATATTATCATGAATAAGTTGTAGAACTTCGGTTATTGATGGAAGTTGATACAAATGATCTTCTTTAACATATGGAAGATGGACATAAACGAAAAACTTAAACAATAATGTGTTTTATAAGAATTATTAGAAAATAATAAATGAATATAGAATGGAACATTTAGTGTAGGTTCAAGGCTTCAAGTTAATTAATTATGTGGTATAAATGTTAAATTACACATAATGATATACATACTTTTTCATTATCTTCTTTTTGGGGAAACAGTAAACCAATGTTTAACAAATTGATGTATAAATCAATTTTTCTAACCACCATTGCTTCTTCTCTTTCAACCATAAATTGGAAAATACTATTAAATGTAATAATATCTCTCTACATAGAATAATAAATATATTAAATACAATTATATTATAATTAATAGTTGATTATACTAATTGTAATACCCGGGGTTAGGGGATATATGAAACCAAGATCGTCAATCTATTTAGGACAGAAAGTTTTATGATCAAACTAGGATTCCAAATAATATGTATGAAAAATATAGTGCTGATGGTCAGTAACATTAGATTTTCATTTAAATTATATATATATATAACCCAAATAAAAATATATGTATTAGCCATCACCAACTTTATATTATTAAAGTCAATTAACCTATTATTTCTGTTTTGTTTCAGTTAAAATATTTGAATAGCACAGATGTGTTAAGTTCTTTTTAAATTATAGAATTTCTGTTACCATAATCGTACCATAAACTTGCATTATTGTAATATGTTAAATGGTCCTATAAATTGTATCTTCTACCACAACAAAATTAAAACTTTAATTTCTGTCATGTTTATTTATCATTATACATTGAGAGTATTAGTAATAAAAATAATACTAATGTAATATATTATATGATTCAATCGTGTAAGAATTTAGTTTAACTTATATAGTTTGAAACAGCAAGCCTGTGAGAATAAGTTATTTAATAAAAATATTTGAAGATAACTTAATAATGCAGAAAAAGTAAATAATAATTAACAATATTTTGATTTACTTTATGGGGTTTATAAATATATGATCCTCCTTCCATAAAAAATGATCTTTGTGTATCGGTAGTTTTAATAAAACCCAGTACTTGTAAACACTTTGGACTTTTCTTTTTAGTGCTGCTCTCATCATCTGTGTCAGAATCTATAAAAATATACATCATATACATTAGTATATTATGGAACAACAATTTTAATTAAATTTAAAGTTTTTGTGATACACTTACCATCAACTGATATAGGTTTATCATTAAGTGCATCTACCATTTGTTTATCTTTTTCACCAGAATTATTTTTTGTAGTTGAATATTGTGTATCATAGTTATTATTGAATAACCATCTAGAATTTATAGTGGTCACATCAACCTATTATATAAATTTAAATGTTTAAACWTTAAATATTAAATTAATTGTTGTTATTTCGAGATGATATAAATCACAAAATTAAATATTTATTAGACACAATAAAATTGTAAATACCTGTTTAAAGCCGGAAACTTTAATCATGAAAACTTTTTCAAAACTTAAAGGGGCAGCCCAAATGTTTTTAATAACCTCTTTTTGTTTATAATAACTTAATGTAGGTATAACTAATTTAAAATTAACAGCAGTCGCCTAAAAAAATAAGATAATTATTAATTATAAATATATGGTTCATTTACATATTTTTTCTTATAAAAATTATTAAGCGGATGCCACACAGGAATTTGTTGTCTCTACCAATGTACAGCATGTCAAATTTTACATTCACAGTAACACATTTTATTCTGTAATTTATAAAATTACAGTGAAGTTATCTCTTATGAACTTTAAAAGCAAGAATATTATCTAAGGAAACTAGGTGGATTTCATTTATATTATTATTTTTAAAAAAGTTATGTCTATTTTTAAACTGTTTTTTTTTTTTTTTTGTCCATTTTAAAATGATCATAACTTGCCTACTTATAATTAATAATATTAATAACATCTTCCAGAATTCCATAGATGATATTCTTGCATTTAAATTTTAATAGAGGCAAATCCACTTAAATATTTCAAATTACAAATTAAAATGTATTATAATATAATTAAAATTTGCCATGTTGTATGTTTGTGAGATGGTAAAATCAAAAGCCCATGTAGCCGCCCTCTTGATAATCTGATTTTAAAATTGTAGCTTAGACAAATTAAATGAAATTGAATTGTTCAAGTTTCAGATTTATCAAAATATTTAGGACTTGGGCTTTCATACTAAATATTACTGATACAGTAAAATATTTTTTCAGGATCGATTCTATATTGCGATATTATAGTGTATAGTATAAATAATAACTAATATATCTATGATTAATAAATAATGCATATATTAAAATGTTACTGGGAATAACAGTTATGTACTGTTAAGAAAACTAAAAAATATTTTGGTTATTAATGCAGAAAATTGTATTAGTTCTTAGCAATTTGTTATAATATCTAATAAATGTAGTATATTATGCCTTCTAAGATTGATTAAAATATGAGTATCTACTTATTAGCATACTTAATAGATTTAACTATTTAAATTCAAACCAAAAATTTTACGGGCTTATGGAGCAAAACAATAATTGTTAAGATCAAATTATAAATAGTTTTTATAATACATAATATAAATATGAGCATGTGTACAAAACACATGTTGAGCTTAATCCTTTTTTAATGTAATTTATATTATATTGTATATTATACCAAAGTAAAATACAAATTTCATAGAAACATTCATAATAACTTCTTCCTACATAACATACATTCATTAGTACCTACATATGGTTACTGAGACAATTCATTCATAATAATTTCTAACAAACAATGGCTATATTTTTGATAAGAAAATACATTTTGAACACTGCTTATCAATACAAAGTATTTAGATGTTTCCTAAAAACTGTATTTATTTCCTGAATTATTAATTTTGTTGAAAACATAGAAAAATGTACACAATATTATACAATAAATATAATAAAACTATATTACCTTAGTTATCTTAATAAATAAATCTAACGAAGGGTTGAGTGGTATAACTTCACAATTGTTTCCTCTGAAATCATATAATTAATTTTAAATAAAATTTCTTAAGTTTTTATTAAAAGTAATATAATATAAAATAGATTATCGTTAATAAATTCCTCTTAAAGATCCTAACTATGCATCATTGATTTTTATTTAGTTTAATATTAGAAAAATAATACAATACCTATAAATTGTATATAAAAACTCATATTAAAAAAGTTATGGTATCACCGGGGTACAAACCACAGTAATAATACATTCTAATGGATGACAAGTGACTAATCAAAAAATCTAAACTTTTAAGTGATACTAGGGCTAATAGCTCACTATGATATTTCATATTGAGTAAAGAATATTATTATTGTACACCAGATTATATTGTTTTATCAATATACCATGTTTAAAATAAATATCAGTATTAATTATCTGATTGTTTARCATTGAAGACCAATCATTGTGATATAAGGTTGAAATTTAATTTCTATATTTAATACATATAGGCCGTAAATTTGAATAAATGATTTTTACATAAATAACAAAATTTTGTTTGATTTTTAATTGATATTTTTTCCATGTTAATATATATATATATATATATATATATATATATAATATATGATTTACTGATAGATACTTGTTAGTTGTTACACGATTATATCATTAGGTTTTCAGTTTAATATACCTACATATTATATATGTTTAAAATAAACTTACATTATAGTTAATCTAATATTTTCTCTTCTTAAACAGGTTGATATTATATCAATATTTTCAAAAGAGATATCAGTAGCAAGATTTGAAAACATAATAATCTGGAGGCTAGAGTATATTTTGTTTCTGAAAATAATGTAACTATTATGGATAAATATGATCAACAATTAACAAGTTAGATGAATAAATAAACAAATAATAAATATAAAATAAAATAAATAACTTAAAAAAATAAATAGTATCATAGAATTAGTCATAGGAAAAAATCAAGTTGATATTTAAAGTTTAGAATTAATATAATTTGAACTATTATTGTAAAAATTTCATTGATATATATATTTTTTAAACAAACAAAAGGTATTCATTCCTTCAATTATTTGTTCTAGAATTAATTACATTTAAAATTTATGGAGAAATTTGTAAGAGGGAATTAACTTCATACACCTAATTTAATATTATAAAACTTATCAACCATGCCAAAAAAATTTAGTTTGACGCCATTGTGTAAAATACTTACTCATTTTCATTTTTAATCATATCTGCAGCAAGAACAAAAGTACTGATCCAATCCGAAGGTGTTATATTTGTAGGATATAAATTATTAATATGTTTAACTAAATCTCTAGATGCCACATTTAAACCAGAAACAATTTCTATACTGTCATAACAACATTCTTGTGATGAGAGATGATTAATTGTATGAATTGACCCAAACAATACCAATGCCAAATGATCTTCACTTCCTTTGAATATCTACAATATAATATGTACTATTAAAATTATATATAATATATACATATATATGTATATATAATTTAATTTTTATAAAAATGTAATTGATAATATAGAATATAGGTTACTTTTCTCTTTAAAATTATAGATGCACAATGTATGGATTTTTCAAAATAAGTTTTCCCATCTAAATCTCKCTGTAGAGAATTTTTTCCAACGTCAATTGCAAGTACTATTGCTCTCTATGATAAAAAATTGTAATGATTATTAATAAATAATAATTATGAAATACACATAACACTTATATATTTACATAATAATAAACTACTTTTGCAATTATGTACTATGCAATTACACAATATACTTATTATTGAATATAAACAACAGATGAGGGTTAGGTTAACATAACTTAAATGTTAATTGGATAACAGAAATCAGCTTGGGATATTTTTACGATATTCCGATTAACACCCTATATTAACTACTTAGCTAGGTATCCCAAGAATAGCAGTGATGTCAATATAAAATATTTAAGAACCTTAGTTTTAACCAACATACTTCAAGATGATTAAGAATATTTGATTTAGAATAATTATATCATAGAACATTTTTTCATTGGTTAACTTATAAGTTTTATGTTCAAATGTACCTAGCCAAGAAAATTGTATTTGAACTTCAAAACCAGTCTCTTTGTAACATCTATGTCCAGTATTCTTCCTATTCATTTTACTTTTCGATGAAACACCTTTCTCTGTACTTTCCACAACATAATATCAGCAAAATCTGTAAAGTTCACAATCCTCTTTCATTGTCACTCTAGATACATCCAACTTAACACATTTTTATAATCTTTAAATTCTATTAATTTTTCCTTTACTATCAACAAAAATATATTTATCCTCCATTCATGTTTTTCTTCAATCATACAGGTTTTCCAACCAACAATTAAAATCCAATAAACAATGTTTAAAAAAAATACGTTTACCTTAGAAATGGATAAACATTAACAGACTGAATAAAAAATAAAAATTCAGCGCCTAAATAATTAAAATTTTAAAATTGCTTTTATCAGAAGGTTGTATGTTTATCATTTTATCAAAATATTTTTAATATTCCATAAGTTAAAACATAGGTCTTATAAGTAAAAAGTTGACTATTTGAAACCATTGTTGCCTTGAGTCCTGAATTCAAGTACCTAGTCAATATTACTATAAACATCTAAAACTTTGTAATATTTATAAAAAAAAAAAACATTGCATTCCAATACCTTTTTCTGATAATGAGACATCTCCATTATAAATGAGGTAGTTTTTTATATAGAGAACTGGAATGTACTCGGTCTTAATTATACACTTTCACTTGTACTCAAGTAAAGCAAAGTATATAGGTACCGTAAATGGACTTCAGTATTTTTTATATCTTGAGATATTATATGACGTAGATATATAATATGATATTTATATGCATTGAAGCAAGACGTGCAAATAATTTGCGACGATAATTTGTATACTGTGTACTTTATTGCGCTAACGGCAGGCGATGATAGTGTAGTCGTCTAGCGATGCTATACTGGCCACTGGCCACTGAAGTCTTGACGGCGTACTTGGCGCAGTAGTGCAATAAACAGCGAAAGTAATTGTAGAACGATAAACTATCGAGGACGGTGCGAATACTGTGAATCAATTAGTGATGCAATAATAAACCGGTACCGTCTATAATCATACAAATTTTAAAACTAGAACCACACAAACTAGTCAAAATACGTAGCAGTACCGGACAGTGGACATCTGCCATCAGGAAGTAATAATATTCTACTACGCAGTATGCGGTAAAGAAAGGCTCGCGTCTTCCGAATTTCAGAATGCCGCTACCCTTGACCTCTACACCCCGCCCCACATACGTGCACAAAGAAAGCGATGCTCACGAGTGGACCAATCACCGTTCACCGCCGGGCTGACAAGACTCCCAAAACATAACAACAATGAGTTGAGAGAACAAAGGAGAAAATCGATATTTTATTGGAAGAGAAAAACGTTTGCATACCGAAACAATATACACGGAAACATAATAATAATAATAATAATATATCTTTGTATCCATGAGTGTTGTTGACCGATAGAGCAACGCCCTATTCTCTCATTCATGTCCAACATCGACGGTGTTGCATGTGCATGCTTTATAAGCGCTGCTACTTTTTCCTCCATGCGCGATCGATACCGCTTTCAACATGGTGTACGCAGAACAATTTAAACATACGAGTGCACTAATATAAATTATTAAATAGTCGCGTGTCGACMACTCGAATCTCAAGGAGGGGGGCCAAAAATAAAAATGATCACTCATAATAAATTACAATAATATARTCTCTCGTTAGTGTGTGTAAAATATGGAGAAGATCATCACATTGTGCTTTGCTCTAAAGGCCATAGTCTCTCGGCTAAATACGCTCGTCTGTGCTCCGCCACTGATCACACGGCCTTCTACAAAGGTTGTCCAATTAACAAGAAACGTATCGAATCAAAAAGAAAACTAATTGTAGCAAATCTTCAAACTCGAGAGCCTAGAACTYGTTGTCACGGMACTTTACCCGTCCAATGCTACACGTCGTATGCTAACATGACCACCAAACAATAATTTCGAAAATTAAATCCTTTTAAAACCCTCTGGCATCTATTTACCCCTTCTCACTCTTCTTATAAATAAACTATTAAAAACTCAATGAATTCCTCATGATTAGGTGACTCGGAAGTTGATGCAATTTGAATTTGGTTTTTTGGAACTTTTTAGATGATGCTTTCTTAATAGAAAATGTTTTTCGATAACATACGAATCTAAATTATTAGGTACTAATTCTTATATAGCATCTTATTGCATTTCCAGCCCTCTTTTCACTTTTATTATTATTATTCATAATACTACTAAATTTTTTACATTTTAAATCAATTTTTCTGTCATTTTAAGTTATTTTTGTGTATTTTTGTGTATTTTAGTATATTATTATTTTTAAGCATTGATCACTTAAACAAATGAAAAATAATAGGTACTTACTAAAATTATTTAAGACAGCGTTTCTCAACTTGTGGTACGCAAAATGCTCTCTGCTGGTATCCTAAAAAAATCTCCTTTCATAAAAATATAAAATGAAGCACAATTAATAGTTATTCACATAAAGTATTATTTGGTTTGATCGATGTTAATAACACTATAAAATATCTAATTGTCATATCCAATTTTTTTTTTTAATGCATTAAAAGCTTATAATATTATCATAATTTTAAAGTTCCTAATAAATTGCAATTCTATACGCCATGTAAAATAATGTAAACATTTTTTATACAGTGAAAAAAATGTTATTTGGTCATGTGRTTCATGAACATTTTTAAGCTGTGTAGGTGATACGCGGATATAAAAAAGTTGAGAACCACTGGTCTAAAATATTACTAATTGTATGGCCGCCACGCACCCATATATACAGAGTACCTACACATCTTATTAACAACAATTTAGTACGAACGCAATACATTGTTACCCGTTTTTATGATGTGGTAACTGAGTATGAATRCTGCTCAGTGGCGTAACTAAGACTTTAGTCCAGTGGCATATAATTTCTTAAGGCTTTTAAATTTTTAAAAATAATCAAATGCTAACTCTTCATTATGTAAAATTAAATGTTTTTCAAGTGGGGGTATCAATGTAACATTATTTTCATATTTATTAATTCGTTGCGAAATCTGTAATCTAACATAAAAAAAACGGTAGTTTTGGTTAGGCTATCCGGGCCCTAATTAGTTTTGGATTCGTGGCGTTTGCCGTTTGCGCACCTTGCCCACCCGGTTTTTTTACGTCACTATAGCTTTAGCGATTACATCAGTAGAGAGTAGACGTAGAAAGGAGCTCCGCTCAGTAAAAGCATTTACTTTCTGTAAGCCACCGCTCATTCAATTTGGAAAATTACACTAATTGTTAAATATAATTTAAATTTAATTAGATATCAATTTTTTTTTCTCTTTAATATTTTTTAATGATATTGATATTGTTTTTATACATACAAACATTAAAATATTTAACTATCTGTTTAAAAATAAAAACAATTCTTAATAATCATTTTTAAATTTTTTATATAATGACTTATTTAATTTAATTATATTTTGGTTTATTTTTAACTTTTAAGTTATTTTTCGTTGTTTTATTCATATTTTTTTTAAGGGATTCAGTCTTTGTCTAACTCATCCGATAGATATAGTGAAGCGATAAGAATTCTAAAAACAGATTTGATGAATTTTTCGTCAAGTCTACTGAAAATCGACTTTCCCACTTTTTAGATTTTTTGACTTTGACTGTTCAAAAATTTAAAAATGTCATTTTTTTAAWTACTATTTTTGAACATAACGTTTTTTAGAAATTTGGGAGACAATATTGAAAATGTAGAAAAGTCAATCTCAAATAGTCTTGACGGCAAATTCAAATCTGTTTTCAGAATTTTTATCGCTGCATTAGTAGATTAGTTGGTAGGTACGTTTAGAAAAGAACACGTCTATCCTATACGTTGCATGTGCATCATTATAGGTACTAAGACAGACAATAACGGTATCGAAAATGTTTCAAGGTTTTTAAGGTCATGAACTTCTGAGCCCTACTCATAAGTCATAATCTATAGTATACAAAACCTTTATCTTCATCCTATGTATATTATATCACTCGTTACAATTACGTAACATTTTCAGTATATTACTCCATTATTATATTAATAATTATAGTTTTTTTCATATACCATTTAAATTCTTGTGAATCGCGTATTTGACTTATCAAAAATTTAGTTTATAACTTTTGAGCTATTATAGTTTTATAGGTACTTGTAGCTAATAAAAACTAAAAAACTATGATCACTCATTAAATCGACAGTTTAGGTACCAAAAAGTGTGCATCGTGTGCACACAACTGTTGTCCAGTATAATTAAATMAATTACATATTACTGCGCCAGTGGATTTGTTCGCTAAATATTGATCAAATCGAATTTATATTTTCAGCCAAAAGATCACAAATAAAATAAATAATAAATATAATTTTTTCTAATTCTATACAAAGAGTATAGACGTATAGTTAGTGACGGTTACACAGAATATTATTTATATTATAATTCATATAATACAGTATTACTATTGTAATAAACGTATACCTACAACGTGTCAAATTTGTGTTCAACATTACGACGTTATTATTTTTTAATCGAATTAAAGAATTTTCAAATAGTAATATTTTAACGCATTCATTACTTATACTCTTTTTTATAAAAATAAAAAATACAATCTATACATGATGTGGTATCCACAATATAAGTATAGTATTAAGTGAAATTAAAAATCAAAACATTATTGTAGTTACATGATTAAGAAGCCACTCATTAGTGACACTGTTTATTTTGAGATCTCTTAACAGACGGTTTATGAAATTTTAGAAATTAAAAAATATTTTATTTTGTATATTATTACTATTTTGAATTTTATTCGTAAACTTTGATTCAAATATATTAATATTATAATATTATATTGGGCATTATACATGATTTAGGCGAATAACAATTTGGAATATTTAAATGTTTTTACAGAACTTTCTATAATACCCGTTACCATTTATTACTGCGCTGCCGCGGTAGAAGTTCGACATTCCCCCAAGGTTGCCTCAGTTGAGGAATGCCATATATAATATAATATATATATATATATATATAATATCTATGGGCACACACACAAACGTAAAATGTTGTGAATAACGTATGCACAGGGCGTCATCTAAAGCGGACACAAACTACCGGCCACCTTTAAACGTTGGCCGCCGAGTATTATTGTAATCATTAATCAATGTTTGGTAAATTATTTTTCAAAAGTAATTAAGTTACTTTACTAATTACTAAATAGAAAAAAAATTGTAATGATATTATTTTATTCTTCAAATTAAAAAATAAGAAATAACTATGACGTTATACTTTCTCGTTACATTCAAACAAAAAATATATTATATTTATGATTTCTAATTATTTTACAAGCTACCTAATTATAGAAACACATTATAGAAAAAAAATATAATTTGAATAAGATGTATATAAAAAAAAAATGATACATAAATATATTAAACACAAAATATACACGATACGGGTTACGACTGTTGACTTATGGAGTTTACCTACATCAAACTCGAAATAACAATTAACAGCTCTCAAATTGTATGTTTATGTATAGTTTATTAGTTTATAGAAATTGCTCATGAATTTTGAACTTGAAGTATATTTTTTAAAGAAAAATTATATTTTCTACAACTGTCATCATTCAATATAATATGATACATTAARACGTGTGTGAATATGTATTGAATTCTACACATGCAAACACACTTTCTGGACCAAAAATATCGTCGATCTACTCGACCAAGCTATTTTTATAAGTAGGTACAATTTCAGTAAAGGTGAAATTCGTGCTCGTATACGTTTTAACTGCAGTGATCTTCATAT